TGATGGGAAATACTGTGTTTGGAATTGTTAAACTTCACTGTCTGTACTTGTTCACTGGGTTAAGGGAGGCAGGAGGGAAGTTGCAAAAGGTGTTTTGTTAGAGTGTGCTAGACAATTTTAGCTTACCCATTGCCCTGCAATGTGCATTTCATTTAACTTTGCTGTTCTGTATATATTGTGTATATACTGGACAAAGGAGTCTTAATTTTATATTATTTAGCCTTTAGATATTAAAGAGGTTGCCAATGTATAACAAACGTAGAGTTAGTAAACTAACACATTTTGTACACTTTATGTTAAAATTTATAGAAAGGCAGTCTTCTGAAAAGTTCTTTCAGAAGTGAAATTGTAATATCACATTATATGACACTCAGATATGACACATGTGACATAGGAAACAGAAGTGGAAGAAATGAAGGATTCTAGGCCAGAATGATCCTATTTAGAAGACATTTTCAGACATAACCATTGTTACATGTATGTAGTTTATTCAACAGTACTGTGTACACAGTGGACAAATTTAAGACCTTATTTGAAATATGTAGGATTCCTAGATGTTTAGAAGTGCACAAAGGATGTTAAAAGTAGAGGTAGTGAATGAAATATTTTGTAGATTAAAAAAATTGTTGCATATTCCAAAACAGGAAAATATAAAAACACAAAAGTTAACACTGAAAAATAAAAAATAAAATCCTGCTGAATGGAGATATCCCACCATCACTACCAGTATATGTGTCAATGTGACAAAATAGCCAAGACAATTTTGCCATCATGAGTGAGGGAAGGAGACACTACAGCCATCAAAGTGTATGATAAAAAATGTATACAGAGAGAAAAGTAAAAGTATTCCAGGAATAGGCTAACCCACGAAACAGAGGTCTTCATGGGTAACCAGCAAATATTTACTAAGCACTTACTGAATACCAAAGGACACAGCATTTCAAAAGTATGTGATCTGATTATTTAAACATAAGTAATGCAGAACTCGCAGAACCTGGGCTACTCCTGATCTCCTTTTAGAAAAACCCAAGTAGCAGGACATCCTGGGGATCCATACTGTAAATATTTACCATCAGACTTACATGGGCAGAACAAATCTCAAATGTATCAATACCTGCCCCAACTTTGACAACTTTATTTTCCCTGAAGACCTCTCCGAAGTAGATAGTAGCAGCAGACATATGTTGGAAATGAGTGTGGGGATGTTCTATTATATAATTCCAGAAGTTACTGCATTTATATCCCAGTGGCTTCCCTCCTCCTCATCTGGTAATAGGTCGCATAAATAAGCAATGGGGACTGACTTCACCCAGAATATCAATACCACTTTTTGCTGAGTAAAAGTGATTTTATTATTATTATGCTATTACTTCCTCATGTTTTGAAGGTAAATGAGCTTATCCTTTCACCATCATTTACAGGGTCAATAAGAACCACCCAAAGCAAATAAAGATAAATTCATATAACCAGAGAGCTTGGATTTGGAGGTTGATATGATTTGAAATTCTCTTTCTATAATGGCATAAATGAAACTTCAGTTTTATGTAAACTACATATTATACTTGAAGCATCATGGGTGTGGGGACTGAAGATCAAATCCAGGACCTCATGTATGCTAGGAAAGGGCTTTACCACTGAGCTATTCCCTTGACAATAAACTTTTAATGGGACAAAAAGAAACAGAGAAGGAGACTTCATATATAGAGGGAATGACAGTTGATATTACTATTATTGTATTATCATTATTACTGTTATCATCTATCCAGCCTTGCTTTGTTTTTCATAATTTTCTCTTTTTGAGGAAAAAAAATCTGCCTTTCTGCCACAGAAATTGATTCAAAACTAAGGCCTGACTTAGAGTCTATATCCCATGGCTAAAATGATTGGTTGAGAAATTGGAATGTCACTCTATCAGGGATTTCTCCAGATTGTTAAACTGGAGTTGACATACTTCAACTCTCGCTATTCAGGTGATAGGCTGAAAGTTTGAGATGTTCCTCTACATACCCATATTTCCAGAGGAGAAAATAAGAACTATCAGGAAAAGCAGTACTCAGACAAACACAGGGAGCACTAGGAAGAGAGAAAGAAAACACACACAAAGACAGATAAAGAAAGGCAGATAAACACAAAGAGAGAATGCAGACAAGGAGAAAAATACTGGACTATAGAAGGACAGAAAGAAATGACATGTGCACCATGAGCACAGTCCAATTGGTGGATTGAGAAAGAAAAGAAAAAAGAGGTAGACAGCAAGACATTCTAATGCAGGGAATAAATAAAAGATATGTGAGAGAGAAGTTCATGGAGGAACACGAATGGAAGAAAGTTAGAAAAACCATATAATATATGAACAGAGAGAGGATCCTTCAGATAGACAGAGATAGAGAAAAATAGATGATAGTAAGAGACAGCCAGGCACAGTGGTGCATGCCTGTAATCACAGTGGCTCAGGAGGCTGAGGCAGGAGATTGTGAGTTCAAAGCCAGCCTCAACAACAGTGAGGCCCTAAGCAATTCAGTGCAACCCTGTCTCTAAATAAAATACAAAACAGGTCTGCAGATGTGGCTCAGTGGTTGAGTGCCCCTTATCAAAACTAGATAGAGAGACAGACAGATGAAGAGCTACAGAGTAGAAAAAGAAGAACACTGAGAGAAGAGAGTAAAGACAGGAGGAAAAGGTCAGAGAGAAAGGAAGGAGCTAATAGAAAAAGGAGAAAAGAATATCATATTAGTCCTTGATCTAAGCATTTTTCAGAAGCCAAATTCATTTATGAACTTTTAAATTACATGTCAAAAATTAATGTTTTCCTTAAGATGGTATTAGTGGAGTTTCCATCACATGCAATCAACACATTACTTTCTAATAAAACTCTCACTGGCAAGTATATAATCTGGTAGTTCAGACGCAACCCACAATCATTGTCTTTTGCCTCCGTGTACATAGTCAACAATGCCAGGAGACATTTGTGTGGTGAGGTTGGTTAACTTATAGTGTTAGGTGTTATTAGGCAACATGATGGCACAAAACAATTCCAATAGCTCAAATATATAAAACACATCAGGCTGCAGCAGAAGCCAGAAAGACTGCTGCACACAACCCCACTTCCAAGCCCCCGGATAGTGGACAATTGAATGTTTTCATACCTTTTCACATTCTTATATGGCACCTGAATTAGACCAGGTATGGGGACCCATGACTTCCCCTAGTCTCCTCCCTTTGGGGCTTCACTGAACTAGCCCTCTAGAATGTGATCCTATCTGTGTCAGTATCTCCCACCACCACTTTTACTCAATCAGAATCAGAAACACAAGGGACTCACAAATCTATTTAATTTTGAAAAAATATATATTGAAAGATAAAGGAGTTTGACATTAAAATTGTGGGAAGTCTGCAGACAGAGGACAAGATCAGAAATGTGTTGAAAATACTCATGGCACAAATAGATGTGGCCGGCAGCACAGGGAGCGGAGCTCCCAACGTTGGGTAGAAAGCAGTTACAGAAATTCAGGAAAGACCAGAACAAGAAGAGGGCCAGGGGCCTGGGGTTTTGGCTCAGTGGTACAGCCATTGACTAGCATGTGTGAGGCGCTGGGTTTGATTCTAAGCACCACATACAAGTAAATGAATAAAATAAAGATCCATCACAACTAAAAATTGTGTGTGTGTGTGTGTGTGTGTGTGTATGCAAAAGAAGAGGGCCTGGCATCTGCGCTCAGACTCTGTGGGACTCAGGTCTTGATGGGGACATGGCTGGCAGAGGTGGATTCCTCACAAGCCTGAGAGAAGGGAGGCTAGGAACTGGGCACAAGTGTGAAGAGCACAGTAGACCATGGAACAGGGGTAACAGGAAGAAACATGTTGGAATAAATGCATGAGCCCTGAAGGAGAGAGAAAAAAAATAAGTCATAAGTTAAATCCCTAGAGAAAGTCAGCCCCCTGCCCAATACCTCTGGGGTCTCTCTGCAACTCAGAACACTAAGGGTGATTTTTGTACAACCACCCATTCCTCACCATCTCTCCTGGTATCTGATTAAAGAGGACACTGTGCTAAAGTGAAAAAAGCTTCCACAGAGGCATGTGGAAGAAGGCCCCACTTCCATCACCAGTCTAAGTGCTTTGGTGAAGCACAGGTCACATACATAACTGGACAGGTAAGAATTGTAACCTCCTGTCATCTCACCTAACATCCAGCTCAGCAGCACTCTGTAATCTGGGGGTCTGGGAGCATCATGCAAGCCTCACTCAGTGCCAAAGTTTGGGGATTGTTCTGGAGAACAATTCCTGAAATTTCCTGCAGAGACCATGTGGAATGTTCCAAAATTTTCCTCCAACCAAACTCACATGAGAAAGAGTGTGGCATGAAGTCAAGGACAAAATAACTGAAGTGTATTAGGGTGTCCAGTCAAACCCAGCCAACATCTTTATCTATCTTACATGTGTCACATTTCTGGGCAAGAGGAGTAGGGCTCTGTCTTGTGGGTGGAACTTTGGGTTGTTCCATCATCAGCAAGAACAAAAAGAGAAAGGGACAGAGAAGCTCCTTAACATGGGCAAAGGAAGAGTTGCTTCTCTGTCTCTTTGTCCCAAGTTCCAAAAGAAAATTCAAAGAATTTTCCTGATTACTCTCTCTCCCACTCTAGTCCATGTGCACCCTTTCACTGTCATCAAGTGGCGTCACCCCAAAGTCACTGAGTCAGTTACTGAAGGTAGTGAGCAAAGTCTCTGCATCTTTAAGGAAGTCACATGTTAACAACTGCTTGGCATAGGTAAGGATGGACTGTCTTCTAAAAATCTCTGTCTAAATATCACCCTCCACCACTGTCTTCTCTGATGAAGCAAACTTGACTTGGGACAAGGAGAACTCATGGCCACCCTAATTTCTGCAATCTACTTCTATCCCTACTTTGGCTCCCCCTTTTTACTGTGATAAGAAAAGTTACAACAGAAACACTTAGTCCTAGAGCCAGTCTACAACATTTCCTCTACAGGTGACTTACCTTTCTTATTCCAAAAGTGGACAACAAGGCCCAAGCCAAGAAAGATCAGTCCAGGCACAAAACTCCCAATTCCACTCAGCATCTTGTTCTGGGCAGATTCTGACAGTGCCCCTGGGAAGTAGAAGCTTGTGCATCAGTGACTGTCCCCACATCCCACAGAGTCCTCATCAGAAAGCCTGGAGTCCAACCCAAGATATAAGAGACACAGGTGCCCCACTACCAAACAGAGGAGGGTCAAGGGCATGCAGAGACCCCAGGAGAACAGTGGATGGAAGAGGGTTTGGGGGGAAGGGGAAGTGTGAGTCCCCAGGGTAGTTCCATCTGAAAATCCAGAGACTATCCTATCTTCAAACACCAGCCTTAACGTTAAAGCCCAGAATTTCACCACTGCAGAAGATATACTGCCAAGCTGAACCTCAGCCTGGGGATCAGGTTACATAAAGCAATAATATCTTGGATTCGAAAAGAGGTCAGTACTCAGCATCTGAATTTTGACTTGAGATCTCAGGCCTCCATGACTCTAGGCACAGAAATTACACCAGGAGTTGTATAGGAGAGAAGGTATGAATGTGTCCAACAGCAGAGGAAAGGAGGGACCCCAAGCTCACAAGACCCAATGTCCTCCCTGCTCCCTGGTATCAATGAAGTGGCCCTTACACCATTCTACAGTGATGGGGCTCTGGAGGCTGGGGTGCTCCAAGTGGCAAGTGTAGACATCTCCAGGCTGGGGTGTTACTTCCAACATCACAAGAATCTTGTAGGTCCAATCTCCATTCTGAATAAGTGGTGTGGACACAACTCCAGAAGTCTCTTCCTCTTTATTCCGGAACCATCTGACTTTAACTTGTTGAGGATAAAAATTTGTCACTGAGCAGATCAGCAAATTGTGGTGGTTTAGGGGCTCTGTCCTGGCTGGAGAGATGGTGACCATAGGCTCCACTAGGATGAATGACAGCAAAAAATAAAGTCAGAGAATGAGGCAGCGAAGAGGCTCTCGCCATGGGCTTAAGTTCCTCCTTTGAAACGAAAGTGGAGAAAACATACCAAAGGTTTCACCCATTTGTGGAAGATTTTTTTTTTAAAGTTGATCACATAGAAATAGAGAATTGAATAGAAATCACTACAGCTAGGAAAGGAAGTGAGAGGGTGAATAATGGGAATCAAACATACCTTGAGGGGAGCACTTATAATGTTATACAGCTCCACAAAGGATACTCTACAATAATTAATTACACACTTTGTAAAAACTAGAGCATAAGAGTTTGGGTTGCCAATAGACACAAATGATAATATTTCAGAAAATGGAAATGTTGATCTCCCCAGTCTGATTATGATCATTGTGTTGAATTACAACACTGTACCTCATAAATAAGTACCAATAATATATGTTGATTTTTAAATGAAAAACATAATTAAAATGTATCTTTTATAAATATGTATGTCAGCAATGCATATACCATCATGGTCCTTTAAGATATTCAGACTAATGATGTCCTAGTTGTCTTGCTTTAAGTACAGTCTGTGATTTTCACAGAATGCAATTAACTAACAATGCTCTCCTCACCATGTTGTGCTACTTCATCATGGGCTCAAAATCATTGCTATCAACCAACCAAGGACTAAACTGTGAATCAAAATAAACCTATCCTTTATTTAAGTTAATTATCTCAAGCACTTTATTACAGTAACTCAAAACTGACTAATACACTATTCCAATGCTCTCCTGCCAAGTCTTTCAACAGATTTTCCTTGAATTCAAATGCCCTCCCAAGCTTACCAAAATACTAGGAATCCCAAAAGTTGCCTTCCCCACAGGCCTTCCACACTATTTCAGAGGTGAGCGCACTTTGATCAGTCCTAAACTCACCTCTCAACTGAACAGTGAAGAAAGCTGTCTGGTAATAGTTGTGTCTGCACAAGGTGTCTACATGGGCCTGATACTCAGCCAGGAGGTCCTTCTGGGCATTGCAGCTCTTGGCACTTGACTGCCTCAGCTTTGTTACAGCCACAAACACCCCCACATCACTGTCAAAGCTCAGGATCTCCTCCTTGTTGTAGATTTGTCTGGCCATGAGCCTCACTCGCTGAGTCCCATTGGTGAAGTAGCAGGTGCCCTTAAACTGGTACATGAAATCCTCTGCAGGAGAACCAGGCCATGTTAGATTTAGCCCAGGCTTGCATCCCAACCAACCCTGTCTTTGGTTTAGGGAGACACAGGGGGTAAAGTGACATCACAACACAGACCAGTGACTAAACAAAATCTGCTCTCAGCCCTCAGAATTTTATTCCCAGGATGAATGAAGTGATTTCTCTACCTCAAATCCTGCATTGATCATTTATTGGAGCAAATAAAAAATGTCAAACAATGAAGATAATGAAATAATGTTTGGAATACAGAAACAATATTGCCAACATTTTCATATACTGTATCTGTAAATATCAAAAATCCAAAATAATCCACTAACTAAAAGAATTTAAAGTAAGGGAGAGTTCAGCAAATGGCTGGATACAAGATCCATTTTCAAATATTCTACATGTATATGAGTAACAAATGTGAAGTCAAATGTTAATTACATCATTTATAATGACATAAAAAATTATGAAGAAGTTTTATACTTATATACAAGAATTCTAAAAGGGAAATAATGAAATTTATGAGATACACCAAAAGGGTCCTAAATAAACACAAAAATACACCTGTACATGAATTGGAAGACTGAATATTATAAAGAAGACATTATATCAAATGGTCTTATGGATTCTGTGGGTATAATTTAAAATTCCTACCAATTTGTGATTACTCAAAATTTACAAGCTGATTCTAAAATGCAATAAAAGTTCATAAGGCAAAGATGGTGATTAAACATCATATTTTTGGCACAGACATAAATAAATAAATGGCATAATGTATTCCAAAATAAGTTTCATGAATCTATTTAGACTAAATTTACAACAAGGGTGGCACAACAGGTGGTCAGTGAGGAATGAATACTTTTGTTAATAAATGATGTTCTAATAAATGGGAATACATCAGAAGGAGCAGAAGAAATTGGGCATACTTCTTGCACCATATGTAACATAGACCTAAGTATGAATGAAATGCTACAAATCTGTTAGGAGATAAAACTAGAGAATATTTTCATGATGTTGGAGTTTGACAGATTTCTTAAATCATTAAAAGCACTAAAGATAAATAAAAAGTTTGATAAATTCAATTCATTAAAATTAACAGCTTCTGCTCATCAAGACACGTCATTAAAAGACTTACACAGGGCCAAAACTACAAATATTTGAAAAACACATACTAATGATGGGCTTGATTTGAAATATATTTTTTATCTTTTTGAAATAAATGAGAAAAAGATAAATATGGAAAAGTATAGAAGTTCCCATAACACTATACACTCACCAGACAGGGAAACATTAAATAGTCTAAGACACTAAAAGCTGTCAAGAATTGGATTTTCTTATGAATAGCTCATGAGACAACTAATGTGAATAACAGTTGGACTTTCTCTTGTCAAGTTGAAGATAGGCAGACATTGCAATTGAAATATCTATTTCAGTCTAGAGAAATGCAGACCCAAAGGTTTCAGGATTCCCAGATACATTTTCTTTTAAGTAAGACCAGCTCAAACTTCCATCCACATAAGAACAGGTTAAGTACATTGCTCTGCCCTCATAAAATGGAATGTACTACCCAACAAGGAAAATGGATGAATGTTGCATCAGAGATTTGTGGCAAGTCTTCTCAGACATAATATTGAGAAAGGAAGCAAGACAGAGCACAGCATTTATAGAACATTTGGAGAAGAAAATATTAATCTATATTGTTTAAGGATACATTCATATATATGCTAACAGAACAATGAGCAAAATATTAGGATTAAAAGAGTCACAATGGAACTTATTTCTGGAATGTAAAAATGGGTACCTTTGGAAAGGAGTACACAGAAGTCATTTGGAGAATTGGTAATATTCACATATGTTCAACTTGATTAGTGGTTATTTGGATATTTCCTTGGAATTTTTGTTATGTGTGTGTGTTATGATGTCTGTTGTGTTATTTTCCTAATAATTAGATAAAAATACACTATAATAATACATACCCCGGAGTCATCAATTTGTATCTGTGTGTGTGTTTTAGAAAGACAAAGTGAGACAGTTGATGTAACACTATCACTACAGGCTTGGGATTTAATGGGTGCAAAATAAATATCAATTTTGGAGTTTTTTTTCACCATTGTCATAGCCCCGATACACCATCAATACTGAATCAAGGCCCTAATTAACCCAGAATTAGTAACTGCCTGTCCTTATCCCATTCTTCCTCCCAAGTCCCACAGTGTCATCTCCATGACCCCACTGCTTATCTCCAAGGCATGGGTGATTAATAGTGCTCTACAGGTATTGAAGCTCCAGAGACTATAGCTCTGGTCTGAATTTGTCTGATCCCTGTGGTGAGCCGTTCCTATAGACCGTGGCTGCCATTAGAAGATGGCGCCGGCTTCCACTGTGGCCTGTGATAAACAACTCCTTTTATGGAGAATTGGCGCGCAATCCCTTACCACCCTATGAGAAAGATCCACTTGGCAGCTTGGGATTGGTATGCGGGAGGCTTTATTAGGCTGTGCTTGGGCGCTCGGCGGGGGGTCGCTAGAAGATGATACTTGAATCAAGGCCTGAATAAACTGCTGAAAGAAGAATCCTGTGTCGTGTTTTCCCTTGCTGGCGAGGGGTCGCGACAGATCCCAAGCCCCTAAATAGATGAATACTATTGGGCCCAGAAAATCCCCAGAGTGGCCAGTTCTTTTAACTTACCTGATGCTTCTCAAGTACCTCATTTGCATTTTGTACTGTGTCTGGTATAGAAATGAACTTTGTCTTTTTCTTCCAATTCTGAGATCCCAAAGTCCTTTAGAGATATTAGCCTCCCTTCCACTGCAGAGGTTGAAAAAAAAAGGAATCTAGCAAAACTCTAAGAAGGAGAAATCAGGACTCTTGTAAGAGTCCTTCCAAATTCTACCTGTGGATTGTTGAAAATACAACAGACCAAGCTTAAGCTCCAGAGCCCCCAAGAAATTATTTCCAAATCTGGGCTATGAATAGCAGCTGTCCTGCACTTACTTAGAGAATCTCTTCTGTTAGCCATGGGAGTCCTCAGCACCATGAGAACCACCATCAGTCATATGATCTGCCCAGATTGAGTCAGGAGGATATAGACAACCTAAACAGACCAATATCAATTGAGGAAATAGAAGAAACCATCAAAAGACTACCAACTAAGAAAAGCCCAGGACCGGAGGGGTATACAGCAGAATTTTACGAAACCTTTAAAGAGGAACTAATACCAATACTTTTCAAGCTATTTCAGGAAATAGAAAAAGAGGGAGAACTTCCAAATTCATTCTACGACGCCAACATCACCCTGATTCCTAAACCAGACAAAGACACTTCAAAGAAAGAAAACTACAGATCAATATCTCTAATGAACCTAGATGCAAAAATCCTCAATAAAATTCTGGTGAATCGGATACAAAAACATATCAAAAAAAATTGTGCACCATGATCAAGTAGGATTCATCCCTGGGATGCAAGGCTGGTTCAATACACAGAAATCAATAAATGTTATTCACCACATCAATAGACTTAAAAATAAGAACCATATGATCATCTTGATAGATGCAGAAAAAGCATTCGACAAAGTACAGCATCCCTTTATGTTCAAAACATTAGAAAAACTAGGGATAACAGGAACTTACCTCGACATTGTAAAAGCTATCTATGCTAAGCCTCAGGCTAGCATCATTCTGAATGGAGAAAAATTGAAGGCATTCCCTCTAAAATCTGGAACAAGACAGGGATGCCCTCTCTCACCACTTCTGTTCAACATAGTTCTCGAAACACTGGCCAGAGCAATTAGACAGATGAAAGAAATTAAAGGCATAAAAATAGGGAAAGAAGAACTTAAATTATCACTATTTGCAGGTGACATGATTCTATACCTAGCAGACCCAAAAGGGTCTACAAAGAAACTATTAGAGCTAATAAATGAATTCAGCAAAGTGGCAGGATATAAAATCAACACGCATAAATCAAAGGCATTCCTGTACATCAGCGACAAATCCTCTGAAATGGAAATGAGGACAACCACTCCATTCACAATATCCTCAAAAAAAAATAAAATACTTGGGAATCAACCTAACAAAAGAGGTAAAGACTTATACAATGAAAACTACAGAACCCTAAAGAGAGAAATTGAAGAAGATCTTAGAAGATAGAAAAATATACCCTGTTCATGGATAGGCAGAACTAACATCATCAAAATGGCGATATTACCAAAAGTTCTCTATAGGTTTAATGCAATGCCAATCAAAATCCCAACGGCATTTCTTGTAGAAATAGAGAAAGCAATCATGAAATTCATATGGAAAAATAAAAGACCCAGAATAGCAAAAACAATGCTAAGCAGGAAGTGTGAATCAGGCGGTATAGCGATAACAGACTTCAAACTATACTACAGAGCAATAGTAACAAAAACAGCATGGTACTGGTACCAAAACAGGCCGGTGGACCAATGGTACAGAATAGAGGACACAGAAACCAATCCACAAAACTACAACTATCTTATATTTGATAAAGGGGCTAAAAGCATGCAATGGAGGAAGGATAGCATCTTCAACAAATGGTGCTGGGAAAACTGAAAATCCATATGCAACAAAATGAAACTGAATCCCTTTCTCTCGCCATGCACAAAAGTTAACTCAAAATGGATCAAGGAGCTTGATATCAAATAAGAGACATGGCGTCTGATAGAAGAAAAAGTTGGCTCCGATCTACATACTGTGGGGTCGGGCTCCAAATTCCTCAATAGAACACCCATAGCACAAGAGTTAATAACTAGAATCAACAAATGGGACTTACTCAAACTAAAAAGTTTTTTCTCAGCAAAATTAACAATAAGAGAGGTAAATAGAGAGCCTACATCCTGGGAACAAATCTTTACTCCTCACACTTCAGATAGAGCCCTAATATCCAGAGTATACAAAGAACTCAAAAAATTAGACAATAAGAGAACAAATAACCCAATCAACAAATGGGCCAAGGACCTGAACAGACACTTCTCAGAGGAGGACATACAATCAATCAACCAGTACATGAAAAAATGCTCACCATCTCTAGCAGTCAGAGAAATGCAAATCAAAACCACCCTAAGATACCATCTCACTCCAGTAAGATTGGCAGCCATTATGAAGTCAAACAACAACAAGTGCTGGCGAGGATGTGGGGAAAAGGGTACACTTGTACATTGCTGGTGGGACTGCAAATTGGTGCAGCCAATTTGGAAAGCAGTATGGAGATTTCTTGGAAAGCTGGGAATGGAACCACCATCTGACCCAGCTATTCCCCTTCTCGGTCTATTCCCTAAAGACCTAAAAAGAGCATGCTACAGGAACACTGCTACATCGATGTTCATAGCAGCACAATTCACAATAGCAAGACTGTGGAACCAACCTAGATGCCCTTCAATAGACGAATGGATTAAAAAATGTGGCATTTATACACAATGGAGTATTACTCTGCATTAAAAAATGACAAAATCATAGAATTTGCAGGGAAATGGATGGCATTAGAGAAGATTATGCTAAGTGAAGCTAGTCAATCCCTAAAAAACAAATGCCAAATGTCTTCTTTGATATAAGGAGAGTAACTATGAACAGAGTAGGGACGAAGAGCAGGAGAAGAAGATTAACATTAAACAGGGATGAGAGGTGGGAGGGAAAGGGAGAGAGAAGGGAAATTGCATGGAAATGGAAGGAGACCCTCAGGGTTATACAAAATTACATACAAGAGGAAGTGAGGGGAAAGGGAAAAATAATACAAGGGGGAGAAATGAATGACAGTAGAGGGGGTAGAGAGAGAAGAGGGGAGGGGAGGGGAGGGGAGGGGGGATAGTAGAGGATAGGAAAGGCAGCAGAACACAACAGACACTAGTATGGCAATATGTAAATCAATGGATGTGTAACTGATGTGATTCTGCAATCTGTATATGGGGTAAAAATGGGAGTTCATAACCCACTTGAATCAAAGTGTGAAATATGATATATCAAGAACTATGTAATGTTTTGAACAACCAACAATAAAAATTAAAAAAAAAATAAAGTTAAAAAAAAAAAAAACAACAATTCCAGCTTTTCTCCAAGTGTTCCTGGGGATTATCGAATGCTGAGAGCCACAGCCGAGTTGGAATGGCCCCTGGCATTTTGCCAATAGTATTGGTTGACAGGCAAGCCACTAAGATGATTTTGGATTGATTCAATTGTATATTAGACCTTTACTGTCCGCCTCAGCCCGCTACTTTGGAGTTCTCGCGGGGATTCCTAGAGAGTTCCCATTGGTTGAGGAAGTGCCGGAGGAGGGATTTCCGGTTGATGGTTCCTGGAGGAGCCGCTTGGGTGGTTTCAGAGAGTTCCTGGGGAGTGTGTGTGGAGTGTGCTGGTGGAGTTCAAAAATAAAGTTTGTTCCTGCTTCAGTAGCTCGTGATTTGTGCCCAGCCAGACTGCGGCAATCGCAGTCATCTTTTCAAACTTGGAACAGAAGCAATTTAACAAAAGCACTTGGCATTCAGCACAACTGCGACCAATTGACCTGACATTTCACTTCACAGAGATGGAAAGTAGGAAATCTCCTATGAATTTATTTTCGGACAGTTCCTAAGGAAGAAATAATCAACCCTATGACTTAAGTCCTCATTTGTCTCTAGGTAAACATTTTTAATGGAAGTTCTCAACTCAAAAAATATCCATTGTTAAATACACCACCAGTAAACATCACATCGTGTACAACCTCAACAGTGGGATCCTAATTAGAATAAGTTATATTCCATGTATGTATAATATGTCAAAATATACTCTGCTGTCAGGTATATCTAAAAAGAACAAATTAAAAATTAAAAACTAAATATATAAAAAATAAAACAAAATAATTGTAGAAACATTATCCATTGATCATCTACTTAGTGTCTAGTGGTAGATCATCTTCAAATATTACTGAACTTTGTAAAATGTTGAAGATATGTTGGGAAGACTTAGAACCAAGAACAGGACTCAAGGCAAGTCTTCTTGTGATATTTATTTCAATTTTGTTTCTGATGTTTGGGGTTTGATGGTGGCTAAGGATGCCAGAGGGCAGGAAGAAGTGGAATACTATTCCTTGGGACATAAAATTATTATCTAAGAGCTCTTCATTTTTCCTTCTGACTTAACACTACAAGAACTAAGATACAATATGAAAGGAAAAAGATTATAAAGAAAATATATTTGTATCACGGTTGAAGAATTTATTGATTTTTTGACTCAGTCATTGTACCTTTAACAGGTAGACACTCTCTCTTTGACACCATCGGTGTTCAGACAAAATAAAATTTTATAGATATGACATATTAATTGCAGATCCTGGCAAAGAGCTAGAACCCCAAACAAAGCCATGTTATGCATTTTTAAAGGGGACAAAACAGAGGCCGTGATGAGGAAATAGTTGAGAAAAGTTCCCTGGGTTATTTAATCAACTGAGTTATTTATCAACACATGTATTTTACAATGCATTCAGAGGAGGCCCTTCAGGAAATAGCTGCACAAGGATGACTTGACCCCTCTGAGCCTATTGATACCCCAGTTCCAGCAGCAACCAGAGATGAAATAGATAAACAGGAAGTAGGTCAGGTTAAGCTGAAAGTTAATAGGAGTTTTTCAAATTCTAAATCTAATCCAAGAAGAATAGACATGAAATTATTATTACAGTTATAACAATTGTTCCTAATAGTATAAACAATAATAAGTATCATTTTTCAATCTTAATATATGCCTGACATGGCACATTTAAAATATCTTGACACAAGTAACCTGAACAGACTCTAGGGTGATTATTATTATCTAAATTTTCAGATAAGGAAACATGCTTCAGTCTGAGTAACTTGCCCAACATCACAGTTTATCATTTGTCTTAAAGATGTGCCTTTGATAATCAGTCTTAAACTTCAGGCAAATACTTTAGTCATTTATATTAATAATGTTTGAGCAAAATATTGAAACAATGAAATCACATAATTTCAAATAACACAGCTTGTGTAAATCCATCAAATACATCACCAAGAACAAGCCTGAGGCCTATCAATGGAACTGG